TGTGTGTGTGTGTGTTATAGTGCGATGACTGATATTTTTTTCTGTGTTTGAAATCTGTATTGCTGTTCATCATGTAAATACAAAAAATACAAAATTGGAGATAAGTAGAAATTGCTCAATGCACTGTGTAGACCTTATATGAGTCTATGTGCTCAACACATGGAAAAGAGCCTCACTCATTTATACATAAATGCTCACTGCACATGTAATTCAGTGGGATCATGTGCATGTGTGTGAGAGTGGAATGTTTGTTTTTTCACACAGTGTGCGTTAATGCATAATGTGTATATGCATGAGACTGTTTGTGTGTCTATTCTCTCACCCATGGCATTGCTGTTCAGCAGCAGTACACCATGAGCATGGGCGGTGGTCTCCAGGCCCATGTAGAAAGGATGCACTCCATAGCAGTTCATCTTGTTCTGTTGCAGAGGGATGAAGAGTGACAATCAAAGGGAAAGAGGGAACGGGATGTCGGTTAAAACGCTGGTCGGTTCTGTGGTTTGTACAAATGTCGGCCTGTGCACCACTGTGTTTATTCATAAGCATTTTTCTTTACATCTGAGAGGGCATTTCACATCGCATTTATGTGTATGACATATGTGTATTGTATGTCATACACATAAATGCGATGTGAAATGTATATGCTTGCTCCAGCATGTCAACATTCAATGGTTTTCCCAGAATGAGGAGCAAAAAAAATCCATACTCTGGAATATTCTGTGGGGAAATATATATCGGTATTTACTTCCTTTGGTAGCTATAGTGCCTAATTGTGCCCACAAATTACTATTAAACTGGGGTTTAAACTGGCCTGAGTTTGACGTCAACAGAGAGCTGGGAGGTTATTTGGGAATTTGATTTGCTACTGGGTACCATAACAAAATCAGAAAATCCTAAATGCAGCATACAGACCATTAAATTTAAAGATAGAACTGCAGTCGGTGGTTACCATACCCAACTTGGCAAGTTATTAACACTGATTACAACCTCCTTTTATGTTTCATCAAAAGTGTATGGTTTAGAATGTCTGTTTAATCAATTTGCTTGTGTGCCTGAAGGCATTCATTTAGTCTTTTGTTTGTTTTGTTTCCATTATCAGTAACATTATATCATATGTGAATACACATCTGTCTTTTGCAGATGCATGTTTTAATCTGTTTGCATTGATTCTGGCTTGTACAAACATGTATGCACTTCAATAATTATGCATGCTAGTGCAATGCCCATTCTAAACCTGCCTGTTTGGAATGGGATGTCTGCTTGGCCAGTGGTGGTGCTGATTGCAGCTTTCTTTCTGAAACGGTGAAAGTGACCTTCAGTAATTAAGCGATGGAAAGAACAGACTGGCTGCTGGTCTCACTCAGGCTGTAGCTGCACCTCTGCTGATGAACAAAGAGCTGTTCACCTGTTAATTCAAACTTCAATGAAGCTCCACTCAGTACGCAGAACCCCAAACTGAAGAATTAGTTGTGGAAGTCGTTGTTGTAAACATGCTGTTGTCGTAATTGAGATGGAAGGGACTCAATGCTGCACTGCATTTCTTTATAGAGATATATACAGATATAGATATTATGATATTTTCTATTGTCTTCCTTCTGTAGTGAGCGGGTCCCTGTAATGTCTTCAGTGCTCTGATGAGGATGAGGATAGGACGAGACAGGCAGTTTGATGGGAAACAGTGAGAAAGGTGGTGGGGGAAAGCTAACACTTATAGATGTCACCGCTCTGCGAGGAAAACTCATGGGCACATTATACTTTATACATATATATATATATATATATATATATATATATATGTATACATACACTGATAGCCTCCACACACTCTTCTGCACTCGATGGTGCATAAGAAGTTGGGAAACTGTAATAACATTTCTGAGGAGAAGCTCTGTTTCTTTGTCCTTTTTGTTTGGATGCTCCCATGTGTCCGTGGGGCTCTGCTACATGTTGTGACAGCCTGACTCAAGAGGAAATGTCATCAGCACTTCCAGGTTCTTTCAAAGGCCTTTCCGTCTTTCTTCACATTCTGGACACATTTACATGGATGTGCATTAGTCTGACTTAGGATACTCCTCTACATACAACAGGATGTGGATTAGGCAAATCTGTCACTGTCTTAGAAAAACCTTCCCTAGGTGGACATCCTAGTTAATGACTGGAAGTCTACTGTTCCCATCAGTTATACAGTATTGTTGTGTCCTACGAGAACAAACCTTTTTTTTTTACCTGGCAACATTAAAGTCACCTTCACAGACTGGTAAGACTGTGGTTCAGAGCCGTTTGAACTGCTTATTTCACATTGGTGCAGAGAAGCTCCAGCAGATTTAGCAGAGGCAATGGCTAGTGACAGTTTGCACAATATGACACTTAAAATAAAAGTTACTATCTCAAAAAGTGGATTGCATGTTACGACTATAGGAAATAATGATTTGACTATAATTAGTCCCACACTATTCAGTAAACAAATATGAAAAGATCCTTGTTCTCCTATTTAAAGTGTTGTCTTATCCAGTTAGTGTATATACAGTACAGAGTCCATGTCATCCTGTCTCCTCTAAAAAAAAATCTAATTCAATTTTCATCTTCATCTTTCCGTCTTTTTTTCCCCTAACTCTAATGCCCTTGCTCTCCGAGGACCCTGTAACATTTGTTTGAACGCTGTGGAGCTGCCTTCAAAGCTCAGCAATTAGGCTTGATATGCTGATGCAGGTGGAAACGCATCCGGTCCTGCCTTGACGCGAGTAAGGAAAACATGATGACACTCTAAAACTACGGTACGTATCAACAGCACCACATCAAAGTGTCGTGAGAGGGAGAGAAGTTTACACATTATTCAGGGAGGTTGTTCTCAAGTCAACTCTGCAGTCTCTAGACAGTATGATGTTAAAGACACAGTGCTCTGTGCCATGGTGAGCACAGAACTCACATTAAGTGTTAAATAACGACTGCATCTGAATTACTTTTTCATGTGTGTAAAGTTACGCTATGTGCTTCAGTGTGATACTTACACCAGGAGGCTGGTCCTTGGAGAACATGCCCCAGGTTTGATAGTTGAGGTCATGCTTATAGGTGGGATGCTCTGTCTCTCCAAAGCCGTAGATGAACTCAGATGACAGTTGAGTAGATATTTGGATGAACATGTCTGAGAAAATAAAACCTGGACCAGAGTCCCAGCTGAGAAAAGTGACAGAGGATTAAATCAATGAGGGAAGATGAGAGAGAGAGTCAAAGGGAGTTATTCACAAAATGTTTGACACAAATAAGCATAATAACATAATATCCCTCAGGAACTGCAGGGATTCCTTTAACAAACTTTACATGTTTACATTTTAATCAGCAAAATCTTACCTGACACTTCTGAAAAACATCTGAGATACAAAATAATGTCACAGTTTCTTTAAAACATTCCAATGTTCAACTATTTCATGTGACATCAACATGATCGAGTAAAAGTAGGACTTAACTGATTATTGTTACTTTTATCTCACAGAGAAAAAAGGTTTATACGTTTTTATACAATGTCTCATTGTATTGCTTGAAGCATATGAATTGTCTTAATTGTCTAGCAATTTACTATGTAGAGGCCACTTGAAGGGAATGATAAGGTATTGTGCTTGTGGAAACAATATTAGGCATGTAATGCATAATTTAACTTAGTGGTTACAGCAGAATTAAATATTGTTATTTACTTATTTTCATTTACTTAGACATTCCTTCATTCAGTAAAGTCTCATGTCAATTAAGGAATGGTCCTGAACTTATGTCACCGAATACAATATATCAATATATTTTCAGAAAATTCAGACAATTATAATTACATGAGAGTTAGTGAAACAGAGATTCTCCTGTTTGGTCTTCTCAGTTCTAGATAGCATATTCTGCCATAACATAACTTTGTTTGATGCTCAAGTTAAATGTGTTTTGCACCTAGCTTTATGCAGCTTACACCCATTTCTACAGTAAAAGATCTTTTTCATCTCATCAAGATCTTGATAGTCATTAAAAAACCTTTGTCTCTTCACATTTACACCACTGTAGCGCCCTTTCTCATGTCTCAGCAAGAGCTCATTACATCATCTACACCTAACAGACTTACTTATTACTGATACAAGGGGATTTGAACACATCCCTCTAGTTTTATCTGCACTTCACTGACTGCCAATAAAGTTCAGGATTCATTTCAAGATTGTTTTAAATTTTGAATTGTCTTCCTGGTCTGACACCAAAATATCATGATAACATGGCTCTTCCAGTTGTTGACAAAGGGTAATTGGAAACTTTACCACCCCTGAATCCTTTTTGGAAAAAATGATTAAAAAAAGTAATGTACTGTTTAAACATTTTTTTTTCCAATTCAGCAATTGTATGCATATTGTTTATTTGAATTGTGTTGTTTTAAATGTTGTTATCCTCATTGTAATTTTTTGTATTATCTTTTAATCCAAATCAGAGGAAACAGCTTCAGATGGCTGAAAGATCTAGAACACAAAACAATAATACAATCCCTCTTGAAACAATTGTTCTATTGAACTATACTCACATCTTGGTCCCAGTAGTTTTCCTTATGACCTGGATGCCGAATGGGTTGTCAGTTATAATGACTTTGTAAAGCCTCTTGCTCTCATCAGTCTCAGGAGCAGCAGGAACCGACAGCGGCACTGGAACCTCATAACGATCCGTGGCTGGGTCCCAGATCTGGATAAAGAAGGTGAATTTAGGGTGTCAGAGAATGGATTAGTGTGCTTATGTGGAGCAAGAGGGATGGGTTCATGAAAATTAAGAAACACAAGCATAGGGAAAGACACAAACCCTGCTGTGTAAGAGGACACACAACTACTGGTGCTCAAACACATGCACACCTTGAACTGCAGCATGTCACTGCTGTGGTAACGGATCTCAACACGGAGAGTGTCTACGTCTGGTGACTGGGGGCGACCGCTGCTCCCGTACTTCTTGTTGCGAGTGATGTCAAATGTCATGCCCGAGTTGGTTTCTTCCACTGTGTCAACAGTGTAACCATAGTCTTTTGGATAGAAGCACCATGGGGCACCTTCGATGCTGCTTGGCTGTGAGAGGAAAGAAAGGAAAGCATAGGCATTATCAGAATGTGGAAAACAGGTGTACACACTTAGTGTTGGAACAATGTTAGAGTCACTGCTCACCGCCCAGATGCAGCCTCTGTTCTTGCACTTGGCCTCATCTGCATGCTCCTCTGGATAGCAGTCAAACCGCGGGTTCTCCACTGATTCCAGTTCCCACTGCACCAGGTAGTTCTCTCCCAGGGTCATGGAGAGGCCGGTCAGGAAGAGAACCTGCGTATGTGAGGAAGCGTACAGGAAGAAGAAGAGAATATGAGGTTACAGAGATTATTTATCCGAGGATGCCACTGTGGTTACTTTCTTCTCAAGCTGTCTTGGAGCAAACAACCTCTAGTAAGCACATGCTTGCTTGTGAATGTGTGTTTGACGTTGCGTGGGCTATCAATTAAGACACAGTTGTTAATTTCCCTTGCTGCTTCCACAGCCTCTGCTGGGAGTTATGAGTCATTCTCACAACATATCCTGAGGAGCCTCTTTCACTTGGGATGGAAGCACCAGTCACCATCTGATGCATCCTCAGCTGGTGAGAGGATATCCAGCGTATGTCTTTTTTTTCTCACTTCAACAGTTCTCTTGTGTAAAAATGCATCATGCAGGACACACAAGCACAGAAGGAGTTCATTTAAAATAAAGAAAAATTAATCAAAGGCAGGAATCAGCCGAGGAATTAATAAAGCAAGAGGAAGAACAGGGGTGGATCCAGTGGTAGGGCCTGGGGGGCACTACTGACATGATTGGCCGCTCAAGAGCACTGGTCCTGTCAATATT